TTTTTTTGAATTTAAAATTGCCTTTTTTTTTTTTTTTTTTTTTTTTTTTATAAAGACAAGAATGCCTTTCTGAAAAGCATTGTTTAAAGCAACAGTTTTGAGAGCACTTGTATATGTACTATTTACAAACTGTCTGGAAGTCAGCAGGTAGCAGGTATCTGTCTCTCACACCTTTTTTCCTCTTCCGAGAGAATACGTGCATATGTATTAGAAGTTCTCAGGAAACCCTACCTTTATTCCAATTTTTCCTACGATGTTTATGGAAAGCATAATTGCTCATTCACTACACTGATTTTGTCTGGGGGGGAGAGGATGGGAATAGCAGAGACAAGCAGTCAGCACCACACAGAAAAGGCAAGGGAGATAAATGGACAATGTGACATTTAGGTAGATAAAAATCACATCCAAAAGATCAATATAGGAATTCTTAAGAGTTACAAGAACAAAATATTTTCCCATTGATTTCTTATTTTAAACCATTAACAGAAAAATGGCTAAAGGTAAATACGCTACAACATCAGCAACACCAGCTCTACTGTGGATTTTTAAAAAAAATATTTGTTTATGCAATTAGTTTTTGCCAACAAGATAAAGACAAGAGTCCCCATGCAGACAGCCCTAGCTGACTGGTATCCGATGTCAGGGTGGGGTTTTTTTGTTTTGTTTTTAAGACATAGATGGGATTAAGTGCAGTTTTAAAAGTAAAATTCCTCTTAAGAATTCTGCTGTTCTGTGTATTTTATTAACACAAGTATAGTACCTGCGTTCAAACTGTTCCAATGGCAGCTTTTAGAAAGCATCATAAAAATGTTCAAATCCCCTTTTTTGTTTAAATTGACCAAATGGCACCTATTTGCCTGAAGCAATAAAGTAGACCGTGTTCACAAGATAAATCGATAGACGGAAAGAGAGAGGCTGGGGTTTCAGCTGAAGTTAGGCTGCTGAATGCTGACATTATTGATTTTAGCTAGTTCAGCTGGCCTTGTAATTAAAATGTAAATTTGAGAAAGAGATTATGTCCTGACAGAAATGGTGGGATTAGGGGGAGATAAAAGCCCCTCAGTGAAAATTCAGAGAAAGAGCAAGCACAGGTTTCCTCAGCTTTGTGGATTTAGACGAAATCTAGCTACTTCAGATTCACTTAAGTTTAATTGAAAAAACAGAGATAGAATATAAACAAGTATTATGGACTTCAACTTTCCT